GGGCTCAGTATGGTTAAGACCGTTTTCAGCCTTTTGCCTAATTAACTGATCCACTGACTTTCATCTCTTATACAAGATTTCTGGGTGGTTATTTCCCAAAAATTTTCACAAAATGTGAAGCTCCACATCAAGTAGATATGTCCAACACATACGGGTTTCGCACAAAGCGTACAGATATTAAAATATTAATGTAATAAGCACTTCTAAATTTTGTCACCTTTAGACGCCCTGTGGGCCTTTAAAGTACACTTTTTGTAGACAAATTTGGTATCTATATATTCAGCAGTGATAACTCTACAACACTGCAGTGTGGCCTCTGGTACAACTATTGTAGCAACAAAGATTTTTATTAATATCTTCAAAATTTTGACAAAAATGACAGGGTCTGGATATTCATGAACACATAGCTTAATACTGCAAACCTTTATCACAAATGCCACACTGCTATCTTCTTGTAAATTTTGTATACTTTCCAAAGAAGTATTTATTGACCCAAAATGAGGGCCCACAACTTAGGACAAAATAAGATGCCAAAAATGTAACTTTTGCCTTCACTAAACAAGAAATCTGATCACTTTGTTGGGATAAGTGAACAATACAGCTAATCAACTTGTTTTCATAGCACCTTGATAGCAGGGGAGCAGACTACCGAAGGAAACAATAGGCAGTTCACGGCTTGTTCACACCTCTACCTGGCCTACCTGGTGTGTGCCAGACGGCTTGGCTTGGGTTTACAAACAATAAATATCCTTTTGAATTGGCATAAGAATGTTTTTAAAGCACTATATAGGCTCCAAATGGTCAGCTGAACATACATTACACAATATTTCTCCTTAGTAAGATTCATAATCCAGATTATCACTGTACATTAATTTTAAGAACAACAAAAACAGGAAGGGTATCAATTTGAGATTGTCTCCCTAGCCTGTTTTTTTTACACAATAGTACGGCTTTTCAAGCCGTTCTGTGAAAAATCATTTATACCAGCTTGACAGGGCTTTGGTAGGGAAACTGTTACATTTGGAAGTTATTATTATAAGCGTTATAACATTTACGTCCAGTACACTTCTGCCTGATTTGCGAAAGTAAGTTTTTGTAATCTCGTGGAAGTTTGACAACACTATTCTGTGATAGTAATGGCCTTGAGTTAGCCTATAAGTCTAAATATTTTTATAAATCTCCACAACCCTTCCGGCGTGTGATTGAAAAAAGTGGATCTACAAAACTTTATGTTATTCCTTGGTTGTAAATCAAGTTAGAAATTATTTCCTTGACACAGGATTTGGAGAATCACTGCAATACACATACAGCTTTCGCGTTCCAGACAGCCATGTCTGAACACCATTCACAGTCCACAGGGTGCCAGGTAGCACCTCACCTGGCCCTGTGGCTCCCCTCCTGAAAAGTTTTCACACTAGGTGGAGAGGGGGCAATTATGAAACAATAGGGAAAATCTGGAAAATTCCCGGTCAAAGGCGGTTGACGCCCACTTCGCTGGGGGTCTTGAAATGGTCTTAACCATACTGAGTATATATAAGCCAGTCATAAGTTTCTCATGAGGATTTCATAAACATGCACTTTAGAGATTAATGCTATTCTAGCATTCCCTCATAAATTATGCAAATTAGGACATGATTTAAATAAATTATGTTTAGCGATGTTCACCTTCATTGAACATCCAGTATGGCAAGTACTAGATTCCCCGCAATTACCACAATAACGTTGTATAGTTCCAATTAATTATGCAAATTAGGTCTTCATTTACATAATCAATATCTGGTCCGTAATCAGTATTAAGGTCCGTAAACCGTTTGCACCTATCATGTATGGTTTGGGATTTATAAGTGTTTGAAATTTTAAGGGCCGCCCTAAGGTAGGGTTAGGGTTAAGGCAACCGGAGGTACCAGAAGGTCAAATTTGGTGTCGTTTGAAATGTATAAGCCCCAGTATTAAGGTCCGTAAACCGTTTGCACCTATAATGTATGGTTCGGGATTTGTAGGTATTTAAAGTTTTAAGGGCCGCCTTAAGGTAGGGTTAGGGTTAGGGCGCGGGCAACCGGAGGTACCAGAAGGTCAAGTTTGGTGTCGTTTGAAAGGTATCAGCCCCAGTATTAAGGTCCGTAAACCGTTTGCACCTATCATGTATGGTTTGGGATTTATAAGTGTTTGAAGTTTTAAGGACCGCCTTAAGGTAGGGTTAGGGTTAGGGCACCGGAGGTACCAGAAGGTCAAGTTTGGTGTCGTTTGAAAGGTATTAGTCCCAGTATTAAGGTCCGTAAACCGTTTGCACCTATAATGTATGGTTTGGGATTTATAAGTGTTTGAAGTTTTAAGGGCCGCCTTAAGGTAGGGTTAGGGTTAGGGCACCGGAGGTACAAGAAGGTCAAGTTTGGGGTCGTTTGAAAGGTATTAGCTCCAGTATTAAGGTCCGTAAACCGTTTGCACCTATCATGTATGGTTTGGGATTTACAAGTGTTTGAAGATTTAAGGGCCGCCTTAAGGTAGGGTTACACAGCACGAAAACAGATATTTAAGCAAAATTTACGACATCCGTATTGAGACTTTAAAGACAGGGAAATATTTAAGCAGACTTTAAGATCGATTAAAGTGTACTGAAAAAGAAATCTAATCTTTACGAAGGATTTTCGCAGTTGTAAATGTAACGTATTACGGCATGTTTCTTTACGCAAGGTTTACAGATACTGAAATATTCAGTTCCGACAAACATGTTAAACTTGTATGTCCCAGAAAGGTATAGGAAATGTTTCGTATTTCTGTTTCAAAAACTTAAGTCAAATTTGAAACATGAGTAAATCAATCAGTTATATTTTTAATTTTTTCTTACGCACAATTTAAAGCAAGACGGAAAAGACGCCACATAAATCATCGAGAGCCTTTGCCTAGAACTCTGTTTCCTTTCAACGCCTGACATGAATTGTAGCAGACCTCGGTGCACGCAAATACAAAAAAAAATTTCGCGTTGTGTTTTTATGGCTTACCAACAAATATATGACGTGTTTAATCTTCCTCTCTGCACACTTTCAGTGTACGGTGGGCAGACGTTCCCTCTTTAGCTTATATGTTCCCAAAAGTTATATGAAAGGTAGCGTTTATTCAACAAATATACGGCACGTTTAATCTTTCTCTACGCACGCTTTAAGCGAACGAGGGGAGAACCTCCCCCCTTTAGCTTATATGTTCCCGAAAACAATATGAAAGGTAGCGTTTATTCAACAACAATACAGCGACAATACGACGTGTTTAATCTTTCCCAACGTGCATTTTAAGTGATATGTTTCCAAAAGCTATGGATGATATGTAGCGTTTTTTTTACAAACATACGACGTGTTTAATCTTTCCCTACGGGTATTCTAAGTGAACGGGGAGGTACCTCCTCCCTTTAGCTTATATGTTCACAAAAACTATATGAAAGGTAACGTTTATTCAACAAAATTTAAATATACGACGCGTTTAATCTTTTTCTACGCACGCTTT